GAACTTGTCATTTCTAATGTTTTTCTTCAATGGTTTGGTTGCTTCCGTATATTGACCCAATGCGTTATCTTGCCCTTGCTTGGCTGTTATTGACTGATGCCTTGTTGTTTTTCATTTTTCAATATTGTCCAGAGTATCTACAGAGATGCACTGTTTATGTTAGTGGTACTTGTAACCCAAACTCCGCCTGTAGCTCTTCTAGAGTTACTGCCGGTCCCAAGCCCGGGTAAAGGAGGAGGGTTGGGTATGGGGTTAGCGACTCCATCCCGTAGAAAAGCTAACTCGCTAAAAAAACGCTAACCAGAAAAAATAATTCAAACCATTTAAACTCTGCCCTGGGAGTTGAAGGAATAATGACGTCTCATGATGAAAGCCGAAATTCTTTGGAAGTCACGAGACCGATGCACCTTCTAACAACCAGAGCAACACTCTTTATAGGTACATGGAACATCCGGACAATGTGGGAAACAGGAAAGACCAGCCAAAAATCAATGGAAATGAGGAGATACAACTTGGCAGTTCTCGGAATCAGCGAAACCCATTGGACACAAACTGGACAACAAAGGCTAGGTACAGGAGAGATGCTGCTGTACTCCGGTCACGAAGGGGAAAATGCTCCACACACTCAGGGAGTTGCTCTAATGCTGTCCAAAGAAGCACGAAATGCACTTGTGGGATGGGAATCTCATGGACCCAGGATAATCAAAGCATCATTCAGAACAAAGAAGCAAGGGATCACAATGAACGTTATCCAATGTTATGCACCCACCAATGATAGCAACGACGATGATAAAGATCAGTTCTATGAAAGGCTGCAATCAATTATAGAGAAGTGCTCACGAAAGGACCTCACCATCTTGATGGGAGATCTAAATGCTAAAGTCAGGGTGGACAACACAGGATATGAAGATATAATTGGACGACATGGACTAGGAGAGAGAAATGAAAATGGGGAGAGACTTGTAAACCTATGTACATTCAACAAATTGGTTATAGGCGGCACAATATTCCCACACAAAGCTACATGGATCTCACCGGACCACACCACAGAGAACCAGATTGATCACATCTGTATCAACAAAAAATTCCGAAGATCAATGGAAGATGTGAGAACCCGGAGAGGAGCTGACATAGCTTCAGATCACCACCTGGTTGTGGCCAAGATGAGACTGAAGCTTAAGAAAGACTGGACAACTGGACAAACAGCACTACAAAGGTTTAATACAGCCTTCCTTCGAGATACTGACAAGCTCCATGAATTCAAGATAACTCTCAACAACAGGTTCCAAGCTCTACAGGATCTACTGAAAGAACAATAAACTACTTTGGAGGACAACTGGAAAGGGATCAAAGAAGCACTAACTTCAACGTGTCAGGAGGTTCTTGGTCCTAGGAAACATCATCACAAGGAATGGATCTCTATAGGAACCCTGGACAAAATTCAAGAAAGGAAGAACAAGAGACTAGCAATTAACAACATATGAACACGAGCAGAGAAAGTCAAAGCACAAGCAGACTACACAGAAGCAAACAAGCAAGTGAAGAAAAGCATTAAAGCCGACAAGCAGAAATACATGGGAGAACTAGCAACGACGGAGGAAAAAGCTGCAAGAGAAGGGAATATGAAACAACTATATGATACAACGAAGAAATTGGCAGGGAGATATAGCAAACCAGAGAGACCAGTCAAGGACAAAGAAGGAAAGACAATCACTGAGATTCAAGAACAGAGGAAAAGATGGGCAGAATACTTCGAGGAACTGCTGAAAAGACCAGCCCCATTGAATCCACCGAACATCGAAGCAGCCCACACTGACCTCCCAATAGATGTCACTCCACCAACGATCGAAGAAGTCAAGATGGCCATCAGACAAATCAAAAGTGGGAAGGCGGCAGGACCTGACAATATACCAGCAGAAGCACTGAAGTCACACATTGAAATAACTGCAAATATGCTTCACCTTCTATTCAAGAAGATTTGGGAGGAGGCACAAGTGCCAATGGACTGGAAAGAAGGATATCTCATCAAGATACCAAAGAAAGGAGATCTGAGCCAATGTGAGAACTACAGAGGTATCAGTTTGTTATCAGTACCAGGAAAAGTTTTCAACAGAGTGCTGCTGAATCGGATGAAAGACGCAGTAGACGCCGAACTTAGGGATCATCAGGCTGGATTCCGTAAGGATCGGTCGTGCACAGACCAGATTGCGACACTACGGATCATCGTTGAACAATCAGTTGAGTGGAACTCATCACTATACGTCAACTTTATTGACTATGAGAAGGCGTTTGACAGCGTGGACAGGAGAACATTATGGAAACTTCTTCGACACTATGGAGTTCCTGAAAAGATTGTCAACATTATCCAAAACTCATACGATGGACTACAGTGCAAAGTGGTGCATGGAGGACAGCTGAGAGATGCATTTCCAGTAAGGACCGGAGTCAGACAAGGCTGTCTACTCTCCCCATTTCTCTTCCTTCTAGTGATTGACTGGATTATGAAAAATTCGACATCTGACGGGAAATACGGAATACAATGGACTTCTCAGAATCAATTAGATGATTTGGACTTCGCAGATGACCTAGCCCTCCTCTCTCATACACACGACCAAATGCAGATGAAGACAGCAAATGTAGCAGCAGCCTCCGCATCGATAGGCCTCCACATTCACAAAGGAAAAAGCAAGATTCTCAAATGCAACACGGAGTACACCAACCCAATCACACTTGATGGCGAAACTCTGGAAGAGGTGGAAACATTCAAGTATCTGGGGAGCATCGTTGATAAACAAGGAGGATCGGATGCAGATGTAAAGGCGAGGATTGGCAAAGCAAGGGCAGCATTTCTACAATTGAAGAACATATGGAACCCAAAACAACTCTCAACCAATTTCAAGATGAGAATCTTTAATACGAACGTCAAGACAGTCCTACTGTATGGAGCTGAAACGCGGAGAACTACTACGGTCATCATCAGGAAGGTACAAGTATTTATAAACAGTTGTCTACGCAAAATACTCAACATCCACTGGCCGGATACTATCAGCAACAACGTTTTATGGGAGAGGACAAACCAGCTTCCAGCTGAAGAGGAAATTAGGAAAAGACGTTTGAAGTGGATTGGACATACATTAAGGAAATCACCAATGTGCATCACGACTCAATCCCTAACTTGGAATCCGGAAGGGAAGCGGAAAATAGGAAGACCAAAGAACACACTACGCCGGGAAATAGAAGCAGATATGAAAAGGATGAATGTTGACTGGAAAGAACTGGAAAGGAAGGCTCAGGACAGAGTTGGATGGAGAATGGTGGTGAGCGGCCTATGCTCCTCGACGAGGGGTAACAGGCGTAAGTAAGTAAGTAAGTAAGTAACTTGTAACCCAGGATCCAGTTGTTCTCCATAATGGTTTCCTCTTCTTCTGGTAGATCTTGTAGGGATTATAATTTATTTTTGAAGAGTATCTTGAAGTAACTGCTTATATTAGCTTATTGAAATAAAGCTGTAATAAACTTTTTTAATGCCGCATTTCCGAGTATTCAAACCTTCTTCAACCTCCTTTCTAACTTGGCCATTAAGAGATGGTGATATTAGGCTTTTTCAAATCCTCTCTTTGTTCTAACGTCTTATATAGACCATCTAAACTTCTTATTGATACACATGTGATCGATCAGGTTTGCTGTAGTGTGGTATAGAGAAACTAATTTAGCTTTAACCGTATTTGTGACGGAAAACTGTGACACTTTTAACGACTTTGTTGAAGACACATATATTTCCTATTTTCTCCAATCTCGTCTTTCTTTCCTTTTCATGTTTACGCATTATATCTTCATACCCGGTGTTGTCTACCCAAACGTTAGCCTTCAATTCATGTCTTTTTCTAGGCGGTTCTCTACAATATACTGCAGCTTCTTATAAAGCGAAACTTGATCATTTTCGTGACTGAAATCCATTGGTCGCAGTTTATCACTAGAATTCCAGGAATCGCATCTTGAAGTTAGTCACTTGTAAGGACATGATTATTATCCTTTCCGGGTGGGTTGTGAAGATTTTAGATTCTCCGTTTCATCGAATTTATCTACTATATGTGAATAATGTTCATTAATTTATGTTGAAAATGTCGCGAGGAGTAATAACACCATACTGAAAATCAGTTTCTTTTTTTGTTTTTAAAGCTGATGTCGATTTAATAATTTTAAAAGGTCAAAAAATAACATCTCAGTAAAAATTATTATGTAACTTAATTATTATTACCATAGAAAAGTAAAATTACAGGCTTTCATAGTGTTAGAACAAATTCTGCTTTAGCGTTCGTTAATTTTTATTCATTACAGTAAAATAATATAAACTGATTTGCTTATTTATTTGTGAAATGAACATGAGTTTTATGTTGGAAAGATCAAAAGAACTGTTCAGCATTACTAACAATAATAGTAACTTTTATTTATGTAATCAAAACCCCACATAACAACCACCATTACAGTAATCATTATCACTTTCAATGGATGATTCTACCGAAATACCTGTGTATGTAAACACACACGCAAAAACACAGAAAATATAGGAGTTTATTTTTAGATGTATCATTTTTATCTCAATTTTAATTTTATTTACTTCCAACTATTTAAACATTGTTCTTCATTTAATTATTTTTTTTAATAATTCAAAGTTTATGAATCCAAGAATAAAAACATAATGAACAGCGAGAATTTTGAAATCGACTCAGATTACCAATGAATTTTTATGGGTTACGTGTTTGTGTTAGTGGACATATGGAGGGGATACTGCATTTGTTTGTTCGTTTAGAGATAAACATACGCGTGTATTAGTATGCTTATATATATCTATATACATATTTACGAAATAAACGTATTTTATTTAACACAAAAATACAACGCTCTATTCACAATTTTCTGTATTTATTTACCTTATATTATTTACAATTGGTTTACTAAACTGCACATCACTAAGTAATTAATTTACTTTTCTGTGCAAATAACAACACATATTACTCACCCATACACCAATGTACTGACTGATCAACATAAATTAGCAATATGTAAATTTATACAAATGACTCTTGTAGGCAATATAGAAATATACAGTACTTGTTGTAACACGTTATTTTACAAATCATACTACCCAATTCTACTCTTATCTTTCTTTGACAATGTGAATTTTAACAAAATGGTGAGATGATTCTTTCTCATGCATTTCTTACTTTCTTAAAAGTATCAAGATAAAATTCTCATTGAAGTTTAGTTCTTAATCAATCCATTGCCAAAATCTATCATTAAAAGTGACATGTATATTTTTCGTGCATCTATTTTTCCATTATAATGTGTAACAAAAATATTTTAATTCAAATCATTTTCTTTATATAGTGTGTATGCGCACGCGTTACAATAAGATACTTGTAAACGGTCTTTTTCTTCTATATTGTTCCCCTACGCTTCTGTACATAATTTCTATTATTAGTTTGATTGGCAGAAATTTTATTCTGCCTACTAGTATATCAAATATAATAACTACATAACAGATACGGCTGATAAGAAATATCAACCAATCAGTGTTCTAGTTAAGACAAGTTGATTAACTTACTACTTAAAATCTGTAGGGGAGAGAGGTTGTTTTTGTAGTGATTATTTGTAAATTTTAAAAAAGTGTATACACATTCTCCTACCCCTTTAAATCTATATTTGAAGGCAACACCTTGTGATTAACCAGTCGGAAGCAAATAAAATAAGAACTTGTATGGATAAATGATTAAAACTTTAATGTAATGTATATTTTATAATTATCAACAGAACCATGTTTCATTAACATTAAATTTACTTTTTCATTTATAAACTTCTCGAGAATTAATACCTTTACTAATAATGACGACACCTATCATGTCAGAGAATATTAATTATCTTCAAGAAATTTCCATGAAGTATCTGGAAGAAATGATACGTCTCAAAAATAATTATTTGATCAATAATAATGTCAATAACAATGTTGTTCCATGTGAAAGTGTCCCATATGCCAATGTATGTGAATTATCTGATTATCAAAGAAACTATTTCACAAATCTATCTTTATATTTACAAAATACCAATGAAAATTTTACTCATATTAATAACAACTCTGTTAGTCAGAGTGATCATGTAAATCGAGAACTTCGGATTAATTCACCGAATAGTTGCAATAATAATAATAACAATGACTCTAACAACTGTATATTTAACCTAAAAACTATTAATCATAAGACGTATGATCATCAGCTTCCGTGCAATCGACTAAACGAAGATACATTTAAACGACTGGGTAAGTTGTAACAATTCTTTATCATAATTTAATATTATTAACGTTATTATTATCTTTGCCAGTGTCATGAAAATTGTAAGAATGATAGTATTTTAAACCACATATTTATAACTTTCCTCTAAGTATATATCAGAACTCTTCTGTTAATTCAAGCTCTATGCAATTTCAAACTATTATACCTACTCCTAGAATGTTAGATTTCATGTTATTACTATCTCGACAAAATAAATCCAGTATTCAATTCATTTGACGTAAAATCATCAACTTATCGGTTTAAATTCCTCCTTCACTGAATTCATTTCTCAAAAACAGACAGTAAGATTAATTCTCACATAAATTGTCCTTACCACAAATATTTGGTAAATGAGTTATACTAGTATACACTTCAAGAACTTATAACTTTGTATATTGATAAAAATGAACAATATGTTGAATTTGTATTCACTACTTAAAATCAAGGATTTACGAATAGTGTATTAATGTTATTTTTAATATCAAAAGGGGTTTTGTGGATATTATAGTAATTTTAATAGTTGAGAGCATGAGTCAGTTGAAGCTAGACCACCATGGAAAACCTGGAAGCACTGGACGACCGTTTCGTTCTATTGTGGGACTCAATGATCTAGAGGTTAAGCGCTCACGCGCGAGACTAATAGGTCCTGGGTTTGAATCTCGTGAGGCGAGATCGTGGATGCACACTGCTGAGGAGTCCCACAATAGGATGAAACGCCCGTCCAGTGCTTTCAAGTTCTCCATGTTGGTCTAGCTTCAATTGATTCATGATCTCAACTATATAATATACTTTTAATCAAGATCATTAATATTTTTTGTCATGGTATGTTATTTCTTCTTTGATCAATCATCATATATGAAAGAAAATGTTACTATAAAACGTTATATTCACCCTTATTCGGTATTTACAGGCTTGAATAAATTAGCATCATATAATCGTCAGATTATTCAGTGTCTGAATAAATCTGTTTAAAGTTTTTTTCTTTTGCTTAGCTGTAGATAATCTGTTCGTAATGTGTAAATAATTTAGTAATCATATCATCTTTCACACCCTTATTTTCCCATTCAAATGAAAAATATCTTATTATGAATCTTCATGAATCATTTTAATACAAAATCCATAATAGCCTCGTTTCATACATTGCTGTTAAACACATAACTTATTGAAGAATGTACACTTTGTTTAGAGTTGTTTAAAATATGAATAATAACTTGTTTCCCTCCTGAATTAATTGCTATGCTATTACATCTATCTAATCGTCTTTTCTGATTGTATAAAATTATTTGTTCCGAGAATATTTGTACTTTTGCTCTTAGCTCCATACTGTCTGAAGATAGATAAGCAATGTTCAGGTTTATAAAGAGTACGAAGTAATTCTAGATAAATTCATTATAGGGTCTAATCGAATAGAGTAATTAATTATACCGGCAAATTTATATTTATCCAAAAATGAAATGACTATAAATTATATTACTAACCTTAACAGTATCTGACATGAGATTACTAAAGGTATTCGATAGAAGGTCTTGAACTTAGCTTGATCAAAATATTACAAATTTGTTCGATAAGATCTTATCATTGTTGGGAGGAGAAATACGATATAGCTCACTTACTAGTGACTGATTAGTATGTTCTCATTTAATTAAATTTAAAGTTAATATTAAATGATCAAAAATTACTTCCCTTGAAAAATACTCAAACAATTCAATGTTAATTAGGTTCTATATAGTTGAAATAAATGATGACTTATGTTTGTGATCACAGCTATTTATTCTGAGATTGCTTTCTCAAAAGTCTAGTCTTTTTCTGATAAATAACATGAAATTTTACCGAGTAATTAAAACTTTGTGTACTTGCATTCTTGGAGAAATTATTGCATCAGGTTAATGTTACTCTTGGTCTGTTCTAATGAAAATAGATGGAGATAAGGTTCAAACTTGCATTCTTTCAGTTCACAGATTTATCTTTTAACATGAATAAACATTCACTCATTAATGCTCATAAATCTTGAACCTAGTTTTCAGTCTACTTATCGTTCACTTCTATCATTTTTAAAAATAAAAACTAATCATCCAAGGTTGAGGGAAATGTAAAACGTATTCAGTAATTTCTTTTCAAAAAATTGTTTAAGTTTGTTAGATTGGTTGTGTTTCAATTTTTTCGTAATAATGTAACCAAATAAAAGTGAAAACTTTATATTATTTTAGGTAATTTATGAATTATGTTTCTAATATGGGTTTTTAGTTTGATTAACTTTCACAGACTAGATCATTTGTAATAGTCTTAATTAGTTGTTTGGACTTTGTCTTATGACAGTAACCACACAGTGGTTTAAAAAACCAAATTTATTCCAGGATTATAACCAACAAACGTCACTGAGTTAATAGTTCTCAACTATTCACTTCTGAATTCGACTGAAGTCTAATTGAACGTCTTTTGTCTTGTACGTATGTTGACTATTTTGGGACACTCCTTCATCGAGGAAATTACTGGAAAAACTTGTAATGTAGTAAAGTACTGAAATTAAGATGCGACTACAGAATACTGATTCGATCGCTAATTACTTTAAATGTGATTTTGTCATCCGCAAAGTCACAGATGAACTCTAATATAGAGTTAAAGACAAGGTAGAAATAACTGTCCAGTTCCTTCCTTAGATAATGTCAGTGACAAGGACTAGTTTCAAAAGATAATCAACTACTACCTATTCATTATGTCATTTACTGCATTCATAAGTAATTAATTTTGAAACTTGTCATTAATGTGCAATCAAAATCTTATGTGGGATTTAATCCAAGATTTTCAGTTCACACGATGTTAATGATGATTCCAAACCAGAGAATCAGTTTGTATACTAAATTTCAATCAATATATCCAACAATATTTTTGTGATAACTAGTGTTTAGTAGATCTTAGTAGATCTTTTTCCCGAAAGATCTATTAAATAATTTATACGAATATTCATCAAGATTAGAACGAATAGCTTGACAAAAATTGGGCGCCGAGTATAGAGAAGTCAAATCATATTCGAAATAATCTGAGCGATTGAAACAAATAATTCCAACGTTTCGTCCAGCTAACTTCTCTATTTAATATAATATGGTATTACATATTTTAAAAGACACAAATTTAGTTGAATAGAGCTCAACAACAAAATAGAAAAAAAATCACTAATACTGAATAAGTTCTCAAATATTTTTATTTTCGTGAATATAACTCACTTTTGTGCTATGTGACTATAGGGGATAGAATAAATCCGTGCATATATATATATATATATATATATATATATATACATGCATTCACGAAGATAAAAAAAATGATTTTTCATACCTGTTAAATAGAACTCAGTATAAACAACGTTAGAAAAATAATAGAAAGAAAAGTGAGTTCTCGTCAGTTTCTATTTTCTTTTTAAAAACCAGAAGGGGTTTTGTGGAGATTTTCATAGTTGAAAGCATGAGTCAATTGAAGCTAAGTTGATTTAGATTGACTGATTATTCTTATTATCAATAATTGATATTAAATGGTAGGATGTTATAAAGCAAAATGAATTTGATAGTTGACTTGTCCCAGTTTGGTATTCATTTCCAGGATGTAGTTTTGAAGAAGCAAAGAAATAAAATGTCAGTTGTTCTGACTTAAATAAAAGGTTCTTTACCATTGAGTCAAGTTATGTGATTGTATAGCATTTTATCTTTATCCACTTTTTATGCTTCTGTAGTATACTGATGTGATTGATTATTAATATTTTGAATAACTTGAATTTATGAATATAGAACTTGTGGAGAACCTAATGAAAAGAATATCAGAGGGGGTTTTGTGGATATTATAGTAATCTCAATAGTTGAGATCATTAGTCAAGTGAAGCTAAACCACCATGGAAAACCTGAAGGTGGTGGACGGCTGTTTCTTTCTCCTGTGGGACTCCTCGTCAGTGCGCATTCACGATCCCTTCTCGCGATATTTGAACCCAGTACCTACCAGTCTTGCACGCGAGCGCTTGACCAATAGACCACTGAGTCGGCATCCAACGGTGTTAATGTCTAACTCCAACCGATCCGCGAAATTGAGCGACACATTCACCACTGTCTTCAGTGAGTTACTATCTCACGACAGACCCGGTTAAACTCCACTGGTCACTGCTTCTCACAAGAATTTCCGGAAATATCTCGAAGCCAGTCACTAATGAGCATATGTTGATTAAAATCAGAAGGGGTTTTGTGGATATTATCGTAATTTTACTAGTTGAGATCATGAGACTAATAGGTCCTGGGTTCGGATCTCATGAGGTGGGATCGTGGATATTCACTGCTGAGGAGTCCCCTAGTATGGCGGAACGACCGTCCAGTGCTTCCAGGTTTTCCATGGTGGTCTAGCTTTAATTGATTCATGATCTCAACTATTGAAAAGAATATCCTTCATTTATATATCCATATTTTAATTGTAAAATGATGACCAGATTTTTAGGTTCAAAATTTCTCCAACATACAAATATTTATTTAATGATCGCTGAATATAGAATTTTTTAATGAAAAACCTATTCAAAATATTATGGTCAGTGGTAATAAACAGAAAACTCTGGACTTACGTTTTATGAAAAATGACACTCGTTTGTTAGCCGTATCTACAACCTTGGAGGAACTGATGCAATCATCAGTGAGATTCACACCTATGTCAAGTAGTGTTAGTCAAGCCCACTACTGGTGAACTATTCAAATAGATGACTAGCCACCCGGTCCCTTTTTTGATTTATTTGAAGGATTTGATTCATTTAACGTGATATTCATGACAGAATCAGCATCAACTAGTATCGATATAAAAAATCTGAATATTACTGACTCGATACACTCTGATTTAGAATTAATTTAGGGATTATTAGTTTGAAAATGTTAGTTTTAGCAAAATTTGATCAAAGAACTATAATCAAACAGTTGTGGCTATTATGTTAGTTGGGTTGTAACTTTCAGCCTTTGATAGGTTTACATTTAGCCTGAACGTACTTTGTGTGTTGGAGGAGTGTGCTAAAAGCTAGAAAGGAAAAGAACAAGAGGAAAAGTGAACCGGTGACTTAGTATGTACTCAGATTTTCTACTGAAAGCAATTAACAATGATTCAATCGTAAGTTTAAGACAATCCGGTGTCGAAACTGTATGTTGATGGCGTAGGTTTTCGAATGTATTACGGGGTAAATACTTGAATTTGAAGTAGATATTTGTTCACATGATTAATCTTTATAAGAACCATAATTTGTTTATGTAATAAATACATTTTTGTCATAAGTAACTTCTCCCCATTATGATGATTAATTAGGTCTTTTGTATGTCTGTATCCATGACTTAATAGTCATTAAGCTTAATCGGGAAATCCATCATTTATGGGTCGTTAATAGTGTGTTACTTGTTAGCATTGTTATTATTTATTGACTTGTACATCATAGCAACTAGATGTCGTCATTCCACCTAACTGTGACTAGCACATATATATGTCAACTCTTTGATTGATTTCCTTCTGACCAACCCACACAAGTCTAATACCTAGGAAAGATAATACTGATGATAGTGACCATAAAAATAATGATGAATACTGACTTCAGTAAATTACTGTTCAACCTTAAGAATTTCACAACTGATTGTCTCTAAAAAAACAGTCTTAGATACTTGATTTCACTTAGATATTGTAAATAATTTCATAACGTAGAGAAATAAACAAACACGTGGACATTCTTAGTCAGAAAATGGTTTTCGAAAAAATGCTTGATTAAACTGATAAACTGTTTACAATCAGGATTTTTAAACTGCCTACTTTAATGAACTAGTAACTTTCCTTCTACTAATGTACTGGCATATTTATGAATGGGTGAATAAATGTGAGCATTCGTATGTATGTATATGCAAATATTTTCAAGTGTCTTGATCATAAATAAGAGAATTGAAGATAAAGTTGTTTCTGAAAGATTTCGAATAACGTTATTCTACCTATAAAATACTCTATATTGACAAAATGAAACAGGAAATAATACTTAGAAGTAAATAAATTCTGGAGAGAGATGAGGTTAGGGACGAAAGAAGATTAAATGGATTGTTTTTTGTTGTCATAAAAGTTTCCTTTAACAATAGTGAAGAAATTTTCTTTACACATTAGCTGCATATTAACGATGACAATGGAGGAATATTACGAATAAATTAAGATGAAAAATATTGTCCATTGGATATTACCTCATCTGTAATCGAGAGGTTTAAAAGACCCAGGTTCAATATCTGCTGGTTTTATACCTGTAGAATCCTGGAGTCAATTACTAAAACAAAACTGCTGTTTTGTGCTGCATGGTTATAAGTAATTTTCCGACAAACATCACCCCATGACTATGATGACTTCAAAAAGATATTTACTAATATGCAATTGTTATTCATTACTAAGATTTGATCATGTTTGAACTTTATTTAGAATCAATTATATTTGAAAAAGTGAATCACTGGATTTTCGATTCTGCAAATTAACTGGTATTATGAAACATTTCAAGTCCAGAGTTCGTTTCCATATGGGATCATAGTTGAAAAGTTTCAAACCAAAATAAACCAACTTTTCATTGCTCTCTCTCTCTCTTTACATTCCTCTCTTCTAGTTTCCAATGGCTTTTCAGTTGTCATTAATTTGTGTAAAGTTAATTTTAAATAACATGAATCATTGATCAGTACTATTGTTTAAAATAAATAAATAAAAGTATTAAAGTGACTTAATTTATTATTAACTTTGCTTTGAAATGAAATCTAGTTAACATTTCTACTTTATAGGTAAGCTAATATAACCCAAGTTTATAGATATCGATGCTAATGTTGGACTTGATCGTTCCAAAGAAATTAAGCATTGGGTAGATTGTTAATAATAAATATATTTTCTGTTATATCCCAATGAGTAGAAAATTCGTATTTCTGTTTTTTCGAGACCTAATGCAAGCCACTTCTTCAGAGTAAATAAACGGTCGGAGTAAATTAATACAAGTACAAATAGCACATTGAGTCACAAAAATAATCAGAAATATAGTTTTTCTACTCATTGGAATGTAACAAAAATAAATTTGTGAATGACGTAAGTTTATTATATGGTTATAAGTTGGATAAATTTGAAATTCCAAACAAATGTAATCAATTTCATAGTTAGAATAATTCAGGACCAAGAATTTAACTGCTTATTGGAGATGTTGTGGACTCTGAGTTGGGTGGATTGGTGATGAAGTTTTTATTTTGTTTTACTAAACTACGTTGTTTGTTAACCATCATTATGTAATCAAATTCCAGGTCAACAGAACAAATTGTAAACTAATTGTGGCAATATTCTTAATAACTCATTTCTTTTTAAAGAGTGTGGTGATAACTTCGCTTAGAAAAACAATAAGAGCTTCATAACCAATCCATCCAGCTCAGAGATCACAATATCTTTAACATCTTCTGAGCTACGAATATTCTGTATCATTTCAAAATAAACATAATTTATTTTCTTATTGAATCTGTATCATTTGTCTGTACACTTTATTAGTAGTGAAATAGCACTGGATGGTCGTTTCGTCCTATCGTGGGACTCTCGGGATCCGAACCCAGTACTTATCAGTCTCGCTCGCGAGCGTTTAACTTATTTATTTGTAGTTAAAGCTTTTTCTTAAAGTTAGAAATAGTACTCATTTTCTACTGACATTAACTAGTTGAATATTTAATTCTAAACATATGTGGTTACATCACTAGGGTGTTTCAATTGAATAAAATAATCTTCTTTAAAAATAAAACTTTGAAACATAAGATTACTGTTGAGAGTAGGAATTGTTATTAGTAATAATTCTGAAGACGAGTTGAATAATGATGACCAAAAGTATATTAGGCTAATGTTGTAAATATTACTAATTATTTATCCATAGTTAAAAACTGCCAATGTGTTAGTCAAATACTGACTGTCTCCCACCAGATTTTGATCAAATTACAATATGGTCAATAGAATATTTGACTCAAAATAGAAATGTAACTTTAGTTGGAGGCAGCTGACAACTGAATTAGAACATTACGGAAAGGGTTAGTTCTTTTAGGGTTACACATGCAACCTGTTGATAAATACAAGTTTGTTCGAAACTTAACTCCATGGTTTCTCGTAGATTGTGTCCATGCCCCTAACATTAAATATATACAGCTATCTTGATTTCCAACATGAGGATTTATGGAGATTATGTTATTTTCACAGTTCAGGAATCCCATACTAGGACGAAACGACCATCCAGTGCTTCCATGTTTTCAATGATGGTCTAGCTTAGATCGACTCGTTAATTCAACTGCGAAAATGTTATCTTGATTTAGTGATGTATAAATTTTTTTTGTGTAAATAAGCCTTTACTTTAGTGTTATATATTCATTTCTTGGTTTTCATCATATGACATTAACATGTAGCCATATATTCAATGCTAAAATCTGTTGAGTAAATTTCCGTATCAATTTAAATTATCAATAAGTTTTTAATTAAAGCAATTTAATTTCTCTTTTTTAATCAAACATTCACTGACATAAATTCGTTCGTGAGATTTTTATGTAATGCAATCAGTTGACCTTACTATATTTAATGTACATCAATCAGTAGTTTGGTTTATTTGTCAACATTCATTCATGCTATCATTGGTTTAATGACAAATAATATTACTTAATAACCAAATATAGCCCAAACCTATGTAATCGGAAGCAATAAGAATCTGTAAGAGTGATATGAAGTAATGACTAGATAGATTAAGGACGAGAGCTTAATTCTGTAAACAGCTACTTTCTTAAACCATCCATGACAAAGAGGTTCATAAATTGCTTTTGTGAAAATTAAGAATACTTTTTAGCTTAGAATGCAGTTTGGGAAGATGTTATGTTCTTTGAACTAAATGGCTTAGTTCTTCTTAAGTATATCTTGATGTCTATAAAGATAACAAAACTTAGCGACTATACTATGCAGCCAAAAACACATAACACTTCCAAAATGCCCATAATGAGCCATAAGTATTCACTGTTATCTCAAAATTATCTGAGCTCAGCACATTTTTTAGTATTCAAAAAGGAGAGTACCTGTCTAGGAACAAAGCTCCCATAAGAAAACAATTATATTTTCTTCACGAATAAACAGTTCAACCAAGGAGTACAACACCTCTGAAAAAGTTTCTTTAGTTCCTTTATTGTGAAATAGTAATTATCATTATTTTATCACTTTTTTATTAACTATTCACGTTTTCTGTTTATCGAGGTAAGTATTTTAATCTATCATTGTATTTTATCATTTCTCTCTCTACATTTAAAATTATTTTTAGATATATCCAAGGAATTAACCAGAAATTTTGATCAATGCTGTACAGATAATCATTTCAATCAAACCCAATCAAATCAATCAGCTTATGGAAATTTCTGTGCACAATTACAACAGTATTTAATATTAATATGTGAATGGCTTAAACGTACATCTATTAGTACCGGCCCTACAAATATGACATCAACTGTCACTAATACTATTGCTAATAATACTACTACTAACATGAATATTAATAATAAAGACAAAATGAACTGCACGTACAACTGGATACCTTCCGTCACATTATCCCCATGTTCCTCTGCTTCAACAGTATCCCCTAACAGTATGACACATTTATCAGATACGAAGAATAATCATTCATCAAATAATCTGTCTAACATTTCCACTTATTCCTCAACAGTAAAAAGTTCAGCGTTCTCTTCTTTTACTTCATGTTCATGTGTCTGCAGTGCTTCTTCATCATTATCATCATCTTTCCTTACAACAACACATTCATCATTGAGAAATTCAAATGCTTATACAAATACATCTCCAATTAATACCAGAGATCAAGCAAATATAACAAATTCCATTCAAAATATATCAAATGACATTTCAGAAAACGTTCATTTATCCAATCATATTGATCATATTGAACCAATATTGCCTAAAATTATAATGAGCGATATGGGAGACAGAATTACAAACTGTAAACATCAATATCAACCAGATCAGTATACAAAATTAACTGATAATTTTACTGAAAAAATGTATCAAAATATTTTATTTTATTACTACTATTATATAAATTATAATCATTGGAAAAATAAGAACATCACTAATATTTCTAATGTTAATATTATCCACGATCATAGTAACTATATGACACCGACAGAGTTCACTGTAATGGCAAATGAAAAGCAAAGTGATTTACATAAAATAAATAATAAACTTCCTACTTCAAATAATATAAGTAGTAGTAATTATCCTAATAATACGACTAATAACGATTATGATAGTAGACTTAGTGATTATACACAGAAAATAATGCTTAATTATAAGAAATTATTTGATCAATATTCGAGTGAAAGAATCAATTCGAATATATTGACAGAAAGTGCTATGACACCAACAACAATCTCACCATCTAATATACCTGTGATAATTAATAATCTAACAATTAACAATAAATCGATTACTTCAATTAATAATAATGGTGAAAATGATCTTGATGATGTTCATGATGATGTTGATAATTCTCATTTATTAAATTGTCAATTAAATCAATTATTTTATTCATTTACATGTAATTTACAGAAATTAGCAATGACATATCCGAGTAAAAGTGATCAATGTCCAATAAACTCACAAAATACTAAACATTCACATCATCTTAATCATATTCAACAACATAAACAACATTTAACCACAGGTAAACGATGCTATAAAGCTAATCGTGAGAATACAAGACTACGAAAAGGTAAGCTAATAAGATAAGAAAAATTATATATGTCAATCACTTAAGCTTAGTGGATGGAATTTATGGATGAATCAATCAGACTTAAGATAGCAGGTCTTGAAATTTATCCACTCTTATGACTAAATACCATTTCAGCATTATAGGTGATATCAATTCGTGATGAAAACATAATATATAGTTTCTAACCCTAACGTTCAACTATGAAACCAAATCCTAATTCCTCGTACTAATCCATAACCCTCATTCAACTCTATCAATATGGTACACATTTTTAAAGTCGTTTTAGCGTTGCTCAAAGGTCGTCCGTGAATTACAGTCTCACCAAATTTAGTTTTACAGATTTAATTTTAAGTTATATTTTTTGTGAGTAAATTACTGGTAATATCAAACTATAGAAACTGAAGTTGATGGTTAGGGAATTATCTGTGAATTTGCGATTCATAATAAGTTGAAAGTCAACCCTTATAAATAATAACAATAAATGTTATATACTGACTTAAAACATTCGCAATGAAATGATATTAACTAATTACTGAGATATCTCAGCATGTGAAACATGATAATAACTTAGTGATTTAATTATTCAAAGTTTGAATATGTTTAGCGAAATTGAGATGTAGTTCTAAACAAAATAAAATATAAACCTTTATAAACCTGTTTTTAGAAAAAACAGTTTATTTCTTCACAGGATGGAAGATAAGCTTTTGTTAAATTAATGATTGTTAATTAGCATGAGATTTGAATCCAAGATTTACTGACAATAACCTCAATAGGATCTATCATTTCAAAGAAATACTATTATTTTTTATAGTAGTTATGTGATGAATTTCCACAAGTTCCAATTAAAAAACTATCGTATATACAATTATTTAAGTTGGTGATGAGTTAGAAACTTATATGCAACAATGAATAATGATGAACGTAGGATGAAATTATACAGGTGGATTTTGACTCAACAATCTCATTGCTTCAATGTGTATATTGGTGAGAATATAATTAATGGACGAACCAATCAGATATAAAACAACAAGTCTTGAATTTTGACACGAAATTCATTTATTTGGCTAAATAACGTTTGAGCGTTTTAGCTTATGTCAGTTCGAGATGAAAACCCTAAATCTAATTCTCAACCCTGAACATTAAATGCAAATCATAATAAAGATTCCTTACAGTGCTTTATAGCCTTCATTTCGTAGATGGGCACCCTCAAGGTCATTGTAGCGTCGCTCAAAGACCGTCCATAAATTATAGTCTCAACACAATTATTTTTTTTGTATATTCGGGTTGTGAATGAGAGTGGAAAACAGAAAATATATGCTTCGTTCTATTCGGTACTCATCGGACCTGAGCACCAATATTGGTTTTCAAATCCAACATATGAAGTGGAACAGCTTTTTTATTTATTTATTTAAACACATAAATATTGGTACAAATGGGCACCAGATATATATGAACCACGCAAATCTCATTTGTTTTGTGTGACGGCTGTGACACTGCCCGGGTGTCCAAACCGAAGCAGGTGGCTTTCTCAGGAAGCCACACCCGGAGCCTTTGACCTACAGATCTGATCCACAAGGAAGTGGAACAGCGTGAGGAAATGTAGTCTCATGGTAACCAGTGACCAACGATTGATGCATACGCCATTTTTTTCCCTCAGGATACTGGAGCCCATATGCACCGCTGGTTTGGAATCAGGGTTTTCCAACTACTCTAGGTGGACGCGCCGTTTCCACCAACCCTATTAAAGCTCCGGACATTCGCTTTTCGTCCTCTCAATTTCGTAAACAACACCCCCGCCACGAGAAGGCAATGAGTAGGACTTCCCAAAATAAATCAAATTAATGTATGTATTTATTTATCGTCAAATTTGTATAATATAAATTGAATAGTATTTAACACTAATTAATTGGTAACTTGCTATGTGAATGCATATATAATACCATACAACTAAGCATCTATCATCGACAAATATAGCTTTATACGCATGGGCCGTGTGAAAGCATTTCGAGAGAAAGGGCGGCCCCTCCCCACTCTCGGCTATACCAGGGCATTTGGGGGAAGCTATTTAATGTTTACTTGTTTTCAATGATTTTCAAGTAAGTCTTGAGTTTGCGATGAAAAATATCTTCTTTAATGCAAAAAAATTTACAACATTACTTGATTTCATTTCTAACCATTTTTGACTTTTAAAAACAAGTAGTGGACTAATGAATTGGTAACTAAAGCATTTAACTTTCAATTATTTTATCACAGGTTCAAATTTATTTCATTAAATTCAGTATAGACAGTTGTGTGTTTCAATTAATTCTCTTATACACAAAAAAATGTAGCTAAATATATATTTCTAAATTATAATTTATTATTTTTACTTATTATAGATAAACGTTTCGACTTTAAACATTTAGCTCAATCATGTGTTGATTATGAAGTAAATGATATTCATTTATCAAATTCATCGTCAATGTATCAAACAGAATGTTCTCGAGAAAAACAACTGAAAAATCAATTTTTTGACAATAATATTACTGACAATAATAATAATAATAATCAACATTTGATTAGGACAACAAAAAATCCAATTAAACCCATGGAGAGAAAACAGTTCAAGGAGGATAAAGATGGTCATTTTGTTGAAGTACATTTAAAAACTGCAAATTCAAGGTAGTTAAAAATTAAACTGTTGTTATTTCTTGTAATAAATTAATTTTAATCAGAAGGGGCTTTGTGGAGATTTCAGTATATTTCAAAGTTGAAATCATGAGTCAATTGAAGCTAGAACACCATCGGAAACCTGGAAGCACTGGACGGCCGTCTCGTCCTATTATGGGACTCCTCAGCAGTGCGCATCCACGAACCCGCTCTCGTGAGCGAGATTCGAACCCAGGACCTACCAGTTACGAGCCAGAGCACTTAACCTATAGACCACTGAGCTGGCATCCAACGGTGTTAATGTCTAACTTCAACTGATCCACGAATTATGAGCGACACTTCACCAATTGTCTTCAGTGAGTTGTTATCTCACAACAGACGTGGTTGAACTCCACTGGTCACTGCTTCCCACTAGAACTCCAGGACATGTATCTTGAAGTCAGTCACTAGTGAGCATATGATTATAATCAGAAGGGGATTTGTGGAGATTTCAGTATATTTCAAAGTTGAAATCATGAGTCAATTGAAGTTAGACATTAACACCGTTGGATGCCAGCTCAGTGGTCTATCGGTTAAGGGCTCTGGCTCGTAACTGGTAGGTCCTGGGTTCGAATCTCGCTCGCGAGAGCGGGTTCGTGGATGCGCACTGCTGAGGAGTCCCATAATAGGACGAAACGGCCGTCCAGTGCTTCCAGGTTTTCGATGGCGGTCTAGCTTCAACTGACTCATGATTTCAACTATAAATTAATTTTATTATAAATTCTGAAACAAAAATGTAACTTTTACTAATTTTAAATAAAAGTATTAAGTCTATTTCAAGAAAATTTCTTGAAAATCTCATCATTATTGTATCGTTTAGTACGTGATAAGTTTAAATGCAACTTTCTGTTATCTCTGTCACTGTCATTTCTACGGAGTCCGTAAATAAATTGGGCTTGATAGTGAGTCCCCAAATCCAACGTTATGTAATGGGAATACAAAGACTGATGATAGGAATTTTTTGACTACCAAAATAAATCAAATTAATGTATGTATTTATTTATCGTCAAATTTGTATAATATAAATTGAATAGTATTTAACACTAATTAATTGGTAACTTGCTATGTGAACACATATATAGTACCATACAACTAAACTTCTATCATCAACAAATATAACTAATTTACTAAGTCATATAATTACTCTTTGTTAAGATATGATTACCCTTTTACAGACGATTTGAAAAAATCAATTCGATATATTATTCACACTCCAGTTGATTACGTTATTGCTTTTCATACATTAACAGCAAAATCATGACCCTACTAGGAGTCGAATTCATCACTTTCAGGTCCCAATCTGTCAAAAATACTGTCAATAAATGTTTTATTACAATACTTATTTAATACGACTTATTAACTAAGACCATATTTAAGTAATTGGCTTTCAGTTATAATTAATGTATTCAGCTGCTGAAATAAAAGTAATCATGGGGGTTGAATATCGATTTCCACATACATTTCTTCCATCAGAGTATGTTCAAATAAAAAATATCTTACATAGTAGACAGATAGCTTAAAACAATAACAACTTAAACATACTGTCTTCAATTTTAAGCAATTTACATGATGATTTTCTTTTTGTAGAAAAGCTTGAAATTTACTATCCTTATATTTTTATAAAACTGATTGTGACTGTAGTGAACGAGAACATGGGTGGGGACAATCAAATGTATTTAAACACAAATTACAGACTATCTCACCAAATTCTGATAACCATACAGTAAATAGTTAATTTGCAAACTAACAATCAATTGTATCAATATTAACTGTTCCTTCTGCAAATATCAGTCCATCTTCCCTGATTTCATTGTTCATGCATTTTCCTATCCATTGCGCTTCATTCCTGTTCTTTCCTTATCGAACTTCTGCTAAAATACATTCTACGTCTGACCATCACCATATACTACTTATGTGGATATAATTAGACCGCACTACAGGGCCACTGAGTATTGAAATTAGAGATACTATTCTCCCAAAGAATATTTCATTAGATTCGTAGTATACTACTACTAATGCTTATAATAATAATAGTAATTTTATCCAATATCAATTCAATTACACTTCTAATTAAATAGTTATATTATGTCATCATAGTTATTATCGATTTTAATTAACTATTACGACGTGCTTCACCAATAATAAAAGTAGAACTATCATCTTGAATCTATAATCTCTCGTATATTCATATCTATTTGTGTATGTTTTTCAGTGCGTACACTGATATTTATCTATATTTACATTTATACACTTGTGTTTGCACATGTCTGTCTACATGAATTATCAAGGGATTAGAAGTAGTTTAGATTTTGCGCATTCATGTACACACAAAAAATTCATAATATACACAGTTTATTTATATTTTGTACAGAAGGGTTGATACTTTTATTCCACACAAAAAAAGTTTTTAAATACAATGTAACAATTTAGTTGTGTTGTTTTTTTAAAAAAAAAACAACTAAATCTTAACCTAAATTGTATCTGTACCTTTTGTTGTTGTTGTTTAACACAAAAAATAACAGTTTTTTTTTATTATTGTAAATTATGCACAATAAACCGATTTACCGACCATCTTCTAATATTGACTGATTAAAAGTTTCACTCACTGATCAGGAAGTGAATTGAACTTTTTTTCGAAAAATATTTTAAAAAATTGAATATATTTTTTTTTAAAAAAAGGAAAAAAAGAAAAAGAAATTCATATGTGTGTAAGCAAGCTGCTTCAATTTTATCAATTAACCGATTATCTCTAATTAATCATTTGATTGACTAACGAATATCGCAAACTAGTACTAGCATTGTATGGTATATATCTGTGTATGTGTGCATTTGAATGACTATACATAGATACATGCAAATATATAAAGATATGAATAACAAAAAAAGTTACCAATTCGATAGGATTTCTTTTATAAATGTTACTTATCGGAATCTGTAATTTATACTGAAAAAGAAATCTACTGTTATATAATAAATAGATTCATCTTAAAAACACGTATACATATGAAATTTTAATTATGCTTACAAACAAAATGTCAGAGAGATAATCATTTATGAAATAATGAGTTTAAATTGGTGAACGGTTGCTCAAACATCGTGGATCAGTTGAAGTTAGACATTAACACCGTTAGATGTTGGCTCAGTGGCCTATCGGTTAAGTGCTCTTGCGCGAGACTGATAGGTCCTGGGTTCAAATCTCGTGGGTGTGGGATCGTGGATGCGCACTGTTGAGGAGTCCCATAATAGGACGAAACGGCCGTCCAGTGCTTCTAGGTTTCCGATGGTGTTCTAGCTTCAATTGACTCATGATTTCAACCATAAAAATACTGAAATCTCCACAAAACCCCTTCTGATCTAATATTGGAATCTGTAATTTTTTACCAAAAAATATCTACTATTATATAATAAATAGATTTATCTTAAAAACACGTATACATATGAAATTTTAATTATACTTAGTGTCAGAGAGATAATCATTTAGAAATAATGAGTTTAAATTCCATTTAATAATTAATGTAGATTCAATTAGATTTAAACAAGCCATATTTAGTCATTTTTAATGTCACTTTTCTGTTATGTAATGAATTCGTATTCAGTAAAATATATGTTATCATCAAATCAAACTTATAGTATACAGACTTGAGTTATTTGTGTTTGTGTGCAATTCTTTCTTCGTGACTAATACCCCTGAACTACTCCTGTTATATGCTTTTTATATACACTACGAATATATCAAGATATATTGGCTTCTGAGTTCAGTGTCACCATGGTAACACTAGATTATCACATATAACACAAACTACTGTGATAAATTTTTTTGAGAGGAATAAATTTTTTCTAATTTTTACCGAACGTGTTAAATCACTCATATTTTATATTCTATAAATATTCAAAACTGAATGTGTTGGTATTTTTCTAATTGAATAAAAGTATAAAACTGATTAAGAATCACATATTTTTTTAAAAGGAAATGCTTAGCTGAACAAACTTAAATAATTGATTATCTAAGAAGATATCAAAATAATGAGTTTAATTGATAAGATACCTTGGATTTAGACATTTGGACTACTGACCCAATACTCTATAAATTAAGCTACCAAACTCAGCTTCAAGCGATATTTCTATACATATGACCATGACTTTTCAATTTTATGTAAAGATAACCTTATTTAACATCAGATATCCAAGCCAATCACAGAGTTAATGGTTTAGTCGTATGATAATCAGATAAATTACTCAATAGTATGAGCCATATAATTCAGTTTAACTGAATGCTGTGGACCTGTAATATGAGGATAAATAGTGTTCAATTTAATCATCTATATTATTCTTTAATCAAAGTATATTTATTACTGGATTAAGGTCCCAGAGTGAATATCAACTCTGAGATGCATGTACATCCAGCTGACGAGTCCCAAATAGAACGAAACACACGTCCTGGATTCCACTGCTAGCCACTATCCATCATTGCTTATAAAGCTTGTGACTTCAGGCAATATCAAGGCAGTCCGCACAGGATGCATAAATGCCAACAAGAGACTGATCATTTGCAGTCCTATATAACAATGGGAAGATACAAGTAAACAACAAGTGAGGATTAAGATAACGTCTTCTTTTATTAAAATCTCGTGATTTCTCAATAGTTTCAAATATATCCATACAGAATAAATAGATTGTGAACATTATCTGGTCGAATCCGTGAGATATGAACAAATAAATAACAATTTCTCAACCTTATGCTAAACTAAACTATCAATATATGCTATATATACTTTGATTTAATTAATGTAAACTTATTTCCTTATAATCATTATTACATACCTGTACTACTTATGTTATTTTAGTAATGTTCTTTGTTAGAATATGAACGTATATTGTTTAGTTGACCAAATGTTGATGTTTTTTGCTTTTTTACTCATTTTTTGTTGTTGATTATTTCACTTGGATAGATTACGTGTAAATTATGGTCGATTAATTAATGCGAAAGAAGACAAATCAAATCATAGTGGACCACGTCGAAGGTAATTATTTTGTGATGATGTTTATATATATATATGGTCGTCCATAGTATATATATGAGTGTGAAAGATTAGACAGATAATTATGGTTATCAGAGTGGACTAGTTGTACGTTTGTAAAATGCAACCTTTAAAAGTCTACTTCTATTTGAGTTAGGAAATGATTTTCTCCAAAATGAAAATAAAAGCTTTAAAGATAAATCATTGAAATCAGTGGAATCAATATCACGGAGAACATTAACGTTAACCACTAATTTCCTTGGTACTGTCAAGATTACAATATATCATCTGTACATGAACTGCACCATAAGGAAATAGAATTTTAGTTACTTTCATTCATTGTTCTAGATTAGAAGTTTAGTGTTTAAAGTATATAATTTTCAACTACTCTATTGTATGTTCCATCATCATCCCACTTCCTTTGGTTTGAACAGCCATATATTATTAATATTTGCACTTATACACTTAAATGATTACAATATAAAGTCATGATGTATAACTCGGTAAACATATTTGTTATTATCGAAAAAATTAAAAATAAAAACATCAACTCTTTGTGTATTAATATTTCTTTCATTGAAATTGTTGAATACATTTTGAAAGTATTAAGATCAGTATACTGTAGGAATTCTTACTAAGGCTACATTTTACAATAGAACATATCGTTTTAGTTCTATAACGACATATCTATTATCAAATAACAGTAGCAATGAATTCTTTGCTGAAGACATATTCTTGACTAGGTTGTTTATGCTGAAGATAGAGAATAACTCGTTGGGTGATATGATTGTTACATGATTTTTATTGAGATCATGAACCGACCAATGTTAGGCTACCATTACAAACCTGGAAGCACTGAATTACTGTCTTGTTCTAGTATGGGACTTATCAGCAGTGCGAATCCACGACCCTGCACATGGAACTTGAACCCAGGACCTTCGGTTTTGCGCATGAACGCTTAACCTCCAGACCACAGAGCAGGAATCCAACGATACTAAATAATTACAATCTCAATAAATAATTATGAATATGAATGACGAAAAATGTAAAATCTCACTTGTAATCAATAAAATTAAGTAAATATGGAAATCGGACCCTAAGACAACTTATACGTTATACATGTATTGAGTAAACTTCAAGTACTTTGTCTATTAGAAAATGATTTCATTTTAATCGTAAATAAATAATTTCTATTGAGTAACATTTCTTTATTATGTGTTGTTTATTCTACCTATAGAGTGCGTAAACAATATATATGCAGATTCTGTTTACGTCAGTTTACCAAATCGTATAATCTATTAATTCATGAGCGTACACATACGAATGAGAGACCATTTCCTTGTGATGTTTGTGGCAAAGCATTTCGTAGACAAGATCATTTAAGAGATCATAGGTAAGTTAGCTACGTTTTACACAAGCATACTAATAACGAATTTCCATGTTACTTTTATAAATTGTGCATAAAATAATCTGTTTTTAATTCCACATTTTAAAATAATGATACATGTTTGTTGCATATATGGGATGTTTTATTAATGTGATGTGTTCCTAATCTAACTGATTCAATAATATCTAGTTGGAATATGTTGTTTGATATGATAGTAAAGGTTTTTAAACGAGTGTTTTCTTTTGGCAAATTATAAGTAGCTATTAATAGAGGAGAAATGTAGGATAAATTCATTCTATAGTTTCTCTGCAATTCTAATATAACTAGGAAATACTACATTAGGTGGTGGAGATTTGTAGTTCAGATGGATGGTTTGGTCTAATTCAGAGAACGAAACTTTATTATGTTCCATCCCTGGTTGGATTGTAGTTAGCGTCTAGTGTATGACAAAATTCCAAGTATGTCCTAGATGTTATCCATATAAAATATAGAGAAATACTCTTCGAGCTGAATTCCTCTATTCAGCTATTCAATTAAATAAAAACTCTGATAGATAATAACAATGCAGTTAAATAGATGCACCTTCAGTTGTATATAACAAGTTAAATATCAATATAATAGAAATCACTATAAACATGCCACAAGTATTCGGAGTTTAACTACACCTTAACCAGTAACACCTTTTATGATTGAAACGTGCCAATCCAGTGAAATCAGAAGTCAGAAGAGAAAACGTTCGAGGATATATTTGATAGGCTATCGATACATGGAAAAATGACTGATCTAAGCTGGCTAGCGGTTGTAATAGAAGTGGAGCACAGTGTACTCACTCGTGATCTAGCGCGGATAAATGACCGATGGCCTTCAATGTTACATTCATTAGACAATAGTGAATATTCAGTAATATTTTTGTTATTTCAACGTAATTTTTCTCAAGATTTGATATCAGTTGTAAAAATTGCTCACAGCTAGGAAATATTGAAAGTCAGTTTTATCTAGATCCCATGATACTTCTCTGTATTACATACAGATAATTATATTGTTAAAAGTATTTCTAATTTAGCACGATACACATTTGACTACTGCTCATCAACCATATATATATGTTCAGTAAATGATAATTTTCTGATGTTTTATTTGAGTTTTATTGAAGAAGCCTTTATTATCGTAAATAAAATAATAAATGAAGCTATATCTAAGTTTTTGAAACTGAATATATATTTCATACTAATTCAATTAATTAGAAAGAATTCATAATTTCTTGGAAATCTAAACTTTTTCATCGATAAGAAATCATGAATTAGTGGATAGTTGTTCATTTTATGTTTTAATATTGGTAACAACTAATATGTATAATATCTGAATCTTAGTACTTTAAATATACTTAATATTTAATGAAACTAGAATTATACTCTTAGATAATTAGTGTTACTATTTTTATAGAGATCAGAATTGAATGTCAACAACAATACTTATTATTAACTAGTCATTTTTTTAAAAATTTAAACACATAAATATTGGTACAAAGGGGCACCAGATACATATAAGCAGCACAAACCTCATTGGATTTGTGTGAGTGTGGTAATACTATCCAGGTGCCCAAACCCGAGTAGGTGGTTTTCTTAGGGGATCACACCCGGAGCCTTCGATCTAAAGGTTTGATCCACAAGGAAGTGGAGCATCGTGAGGAGATGCAGTCCCATGGTAGCCAGTGACAAACGATTGATTCATACGCCATTTATTTCCTCAGGATCCTGGAGCCCATGTACACCATTTGTTTGGAATCAGGGGTTTTCAACTCTCCTAGGTGGACCCTCCGTATCCACCAACCCTGTTAAAGCACTGGACACTCGCTTCTCGTCCTCTCGATTTTGTAAACAACCACCTCGCGGCGAGAAGTCAGTGAGTAGGACTTCCCTGGCAGTGGCTGTCTACGCGTGGCCATGTGAAAGCATTTGGAGAGGTAGAGTCGACTCTCCCGATTCTCGGCCGTACCAGGGCATTTGGAGGCATTTTTAGTCAAATCATTATTTAACTGATGAAGAAGAGAATGGAATGGTTTAAGAGATAATGATCATTTCTCAACATTCATTAAATTTACTTATATATCATATCTTATTTCGGATTCCTTTTTTTGCATATTCATAGATTTACACATAGTTCAAAGAAACCATTTTTATGTGAAATATGCGGTAAAGGATTTTGTCAATCACGTACTTTAGCATTACATCGTACTACACATCAATTAAATCAAATTGATAGTAATTTAATTACTCAAACTAATAATAAAATGAGTATTTCAAATTGCAAACCTAAAAATGGCTATAATCATCAACATCATTCTCTTTCTTCTTCTGTTTTCTCAACATCACCAGGAGCAACAGCGATAGTAGAAAAAACAACAACATTAAATATGCCAATTGGTACTTCAGAACTAATCAATTATAAATTCTAAAATCAATATTTAAACAGGATATTCTCATAGATAAGAAGAAATAGTGAAATTGTTCAAGAGATGTACTACAATCGAAAAAAAAGTATCCAAACAAAATGATATTCTTTAACATATGTAAACATACTTCGAGTATACATTTGAACAAATGAAAAGAAGATAGAATTTAATGAACATGACAAAAATATATGTATTCACTTATTTACTAAATAAACGAGTTAAAATATAGAAAAGAACTAACAAGCAGTATTCATAATAATATTCATAACAGTATTATAACTCTATAGATAACTACTAAACAAATAAGACATATGATATTTTCAAAATGAATTCATTTTGTTCCACTTCTCTCCAATTTTTTTTCTATACCCTGTTTAAGACTTTTTTTAACCAACAAATATATTTCGTTGATTACCATCATCATCATTATCATCATCATCATCTTAATTTGACCATTGTTATAATCATTACATAATCAGATGGCTTTTCTTTTTGTTTAAAAAAAAGAATGTGTATTTATTTCTATTCTGTACACACACACACACACACTATTTGTTCAATCTAAAGATACTTGTTTTTTAATGAAAAATATTTAAAAATTTAAGAAACTATGTGAATTGTATATTAACTTTCGTTTAATATAAATATAAATTTATTTATTTTTATCAGACTGGGTTTTTTTTTTGTGAAATTTTATAGTTGGAATCATCAGTTAATTGAAGCTATACCACCATGGAAAATCTGGAAGCACTGGATGGCCGTTTCGCATCCACGATCCCACACCCACGAGATTCGAACGCAGGACCTACCAGTCTCGCATCAGAGCACTTAACCGATAGGCCATTGAGCCAGCATCCAACGGTGTTAATGTCTAACTTCAACTGATCCACGAAGTTGAGCAACCGTTCACCAATTGTCTTCAGTGAGTTGATATCTCACAACAGACGTGGTTTGAACTCCACTGATCACTGCTTTTATTTTTATCAGAAGGGGTTTTGTGGAGATTTCAATATTTTCTTAATTAAAATCATGAGTTAAGTGAAGCTAGACCACCATGGAAAACCTGGAAGCACTGGATGGCAAGGTGGGATCGTGGATACTTATTGCTGAAGAGTTCCATAATGGGACAAAACGGCCGTCCAGTGCTCACAGGTTTTCTATGGTGGTCTAGCTTCAATTGACTCATGATTTCAATTATTTATTTTTATTGTTAATATTGTGTAATGAACGAGAATATAGGCGGGAACAATAGTACATTCTCTGTTTTATTATTCACTCAATAGAATGATTGATATCATTATTAACATAAGCATATTTAGATGACAATGATAATAATGTTTATTATCGTTAAAAGATTATACTCTGGAACTAATATTCCACTTCAGTTATCATGTAAAGTAAAAAAAGATTTATCAAAGTTTATTTACATATAAATGGAATTTTATCGTACTTGTAATAATGAACTATGAGAATGTGGATGCTGACTGGTGGGTAATTAGTTAGATAATGATATTTGGAATTTAGTGGTTGCATGGGTTAGGTCACATTATGAAAGAAATGCTTCCATTTTTGTTATATTTCTTTCACGACACTAACGGCTAGTCTAAAGAAACTTTTGTTTTCGTAGTTATTACAGAAATTCTCGTTACTATTCGGTTAATTTCATTTACGTATTAAATCGATTAGTAAACTAAAGACAAAAAACTTGTTGAATTCAGTAAAGAAAAATAAAAAATCCATCTTCTTTTCATCAATTTATCTAGAAAATTAACTGATTTAGCCAATAATATTTATGAAAATATTTCTGTTGTCTTAAAATGCCACCGTATACAATTTGTAGAATGTCTATCAAAACATTCATTCATACAACATCATTTTCTCACCTCAGTAACACATACATATAATTGACAAATTTATTGTATGCATAATTATGACGCTCATGACAACAGTGATAAGAGTGATGAAGTTGATGGAAATGAAGATGATGATGTTTATAGCTACTACAATAAATCATTTTTTTGTATTTCTAGTATAACACCATTGAGCCTGTTGATCTACCTGTGTAGATGTGTATTTGGGTGGGTGTGTTAGTGACCACTGAATGCACAATAACAATTTCCTATTAGAAGAAATAAATATTAGAAAAAGTAGATAAAACAAAACAATTGTCAAAATCTGAATTATTTGAACAGCTGTGATCATATCACAACTGTAAGACGATGACAGAAAAAAGGAATAAATTTCATGGGAACTAAAAATGAGCAGAGAAAGGATTTTAAAGAGGCCTATACCCGTATTTACATGTGCTATAAATCGAGAGAATAGGAGTGAATGAGAATAAGAAGGGGAGAAATGAAGGCAGAAGAAATTGTTAATAAAAAAAGGAGGAACCAGCGACAATGAAGTTATGTCAATAACATAATGATTAATGATTTCGTCAAAATAACTCCATATGTGCACTCCCTAATACAAAGTTGACTCTTTATCAATGCATGTATAAATGTTCCCCCCTAATAAAAGACATCTTACAAATGTAGTGTATGAAGAAAGGTGATGAGTGTGTGTATTAAATGTATAATTTCTATTTGTTAAATAAATAATACTGTACAAAGGTGTGAACTAATTAATTGCATATATATATGTACATTTTTAAACAAATTATGATGACTTTGTTATGTCCTAAGCATTCATAAGGAAACAGACAGAAAGAGAAGGGTGAATAAAATCTACGACATCAATCTCTCCACATAAACAGTAGCCAACATTAATCTATTTATAACAACTTTTTTCTATTTCTCTGTCATCCAGTAATTTCCATTTTTTCTTAATCTCTTGAGGCTTTCAAAATTACAAAATAAAGTAATTTGTCATTCTGTTTACTGTTGCTAACATGGATACGACAGCTTATATATATATATGCTCCAGTTTCCTATTTCTTTCTGTATACATATAGCACATAATTTAAGTGTCAATTATAAGTTAAATATATATAGTCTGGAAAAATTGTTGTTGTCGTTGTATTTTGTTCATGGAAGTGAGACTGAAAGGCAGAAGAAAATGTGTAAAAAGAAGTCATTTTATAATTTTAAAATATTTCATGGTAAACAATTAATTATTCATTGAATTAATTAACTAAAATATTCAAATATAAGATTATTGCCTACAAAATCACTATTATAAAAGTGACAAATTGCTTCCAAGCTTTCAATGATAGTCTAATTTAGAAAAGGTATATCCAGCGTCTATGTTTACATTGACCTACGACTGGAAAACCGGATACCTAAACTAAATATTATGAAGCTCTCCCCCTTTTTTGATCACCTCTATCTTAATCTTCATATCCATCATTCCTAATTCGTTTGTCGTAATTACCTTGATAACACCGCTTTTATTACATATTATATTCACACAACAATCTTATTATTATTACTATTACTATTTTCATAGTTGAAAGCGTGAGTCAACTGAAGCTACACCACCATGGAAAACCTAGAAACATTGGACGGCTGTTTCGTCCTATTGTGGGACTCCTTAGTAGTGCGCATCCACGATCCCACACCCACGAGATTCGAACCCAGGACCTACCAGTCTCGTGTCAGAGCACTTAACCGATAGACCATTGAGCCGGCATCCAACGGTGTTTATGTCTAACTCCAACCAATCCACTATTTATCATTATTATCTAAATTAATTAGATGAAATTCTCCTACTATGCATTTTATTCACACAATCTTTTTATTTTTCCTATATTACTATTATACTGATTGTGACGGGACACTTTATTGCAAATCATTTTGACCTTTATTGAATGACCTTTCTAATTAACAAACAACACAATTTAAAAGTATATATGTCGTAACGGATGCAAACGTTCATCATTTTTAACATATAACATTGTCAAATTAATTAATACATGCCTCATTTTGGCCTTTGTAAAATATCACAATAATTATGGACTTATAACTGTAGAGCCTGATGATGAAGTTATCAAAAACAATTGTTCGCTCAAATATTATTCATTCTTGGAATATTCTATGGGATCTTTAAACTGCTAATTTACAACAATTTATGATTGTCGTGAAATTCAACAACCGCCACAAACCCATTACTTGACAAATGATTTAATTATGAGAAAGAAAATCTGTTATTTTGATTCATTCTTTTAATTAACAAATTGAAATCAACAATTTAAATGTTAAATTAGCATTTTCATAGTTGAAATCTCCACAAAACCCCTTCTGATCTATAATCATATGCTCACTAGTGACTGACTCCAAGAGATATTTCCTTGAGTTCTAGTGGGAAGCAGTGACCAGTGGAGTTCAAACCACGTCTGTTGAAATATCAACTCACTGAAGAAAATTGGTGAACGGTTGCTCAACTTCGTGGATCAGTTGAAGTTAGACTTTAACACCGTTGGATGCCGGCTCAGTGGTCTATCGGTTAAGTGCTCTGGCGTGAGACTGGTAGGTCCTGCGTTCGAATCTCGTGGGTGCGGGATCGTGGATGCTCATTGCTGAGAAGTCCCATAATAGGACGAAACGGCCGTCCAGTGCTTCCAGGTTCTCCATGATGGTTTAGCTTCAATTGACTAATGATTTCAACTATGAAAATACTGAAATCTCTACAAAACCCCTTCTGATCTGTGAAACTTTAGTTATAAGATAAATAAGTGATTTCATTTATTTATAAATGAACTAGTTTGTATCATTTACTATTTATAATAATTTAATAATTAGTTATCTACGTTTAAATCTACTGCGCAATTTTTCGTCCATAGTTTTTATAGAAACTAATTTATTTTGTAGGCGGTTTTACCGTAGACTGTCACGTCAATTGGAGCATTATTAAAAAAAAACAGAGGGCAGTGGTTAAGTATTTTATCTGAATATAAGACTCTTTAGTGGTAATTTCTGAGATTAAAACTGGGATCTCTAAACGTCACATTAACTGTCTTGTCATTCGCGAAATAAATTGGGATCAAAATAGTTCACTTCTTCAATTTCAACCAATTCACCATATAGTTTTGAAAAATTATGGCAAGCTAATTAGTTATTGATAAAGTATGGCTTGATCCAAATGTATTAATTTTAAGTCGCTACATTTTGCGACAGTAAAGTTAGATGGACGCAATTAAGAGACAATTAAAGAAATTAGCGTTATGTTACAATCCTTTGCAGTTGATAGAAATGGATTCTTTGAAATAATGACAATAAAAATACCTACGATTTACACGGAATTATCAACAAATCACATTAACCGATAGTTTTAAATATGAGACTGTAGAAGTAAACGAAATATCAGTGACTGCTTCATGACTTGTATTTTCATTTTTTATTGATCAGTTTTTGTCTAGCAAGTAATACTTTCTTTACTGAATTCTTTTTAAATAAATAAGATTTCTAGTTGACCATTTCGGTCTAATAACAAGAGCTTGTGGTTCTTCAATTCCATCTATCTAGTTTTAAGGGGTAGGTTTTGTAATACAGCTTCCAGTCAGGTCAATTAAACCTTAACTTTATTGTCATACAAGTATAGTGATTCTGTTGTATGGTAGCTGAAAATGTGAACCTTTGATTTCCAACTAAGTTCTCAGTTGTCACTTCTCTGAAGATTGTAAGTTTTATTATTTAGAGAGCACCAACCTTAGTTCGAGACTTCCTGCTGT